ATACGACCCGGTGTCGAATCTTTGGATTCTACTCCGGTTAAATATATTTACAACAATTGTAGACGCGCGTATATATAAGGGCGTCTCCAATTTTTAGCTATTTGGCTAACTATTATGACGTGGACAGGGGAAAAGTAAGAGAAAGAGTAGTCAATAGCTACTAACAAATAACTTATCTATTTCACGTAGCCCAAGATCATGTGAGAGGAATACGTGGGTCCAATAGTGTAAAATAGTTATTTTTCTTATCTCTCACATCCACATCAGCTAACCATATAGCTAGTAATAGCTATTACCATTGGAGATGCCCTAAGAAGCAAATAAATTAAGAGGTGACAGTTCATTAATTTAGGACAAAAGCTTGGCTGTAAACCGACTGTCAAAGTCAAAGTCCGCGACTCTATTAATATTTACTTGAAATAATATCTAAAAATCAGTAAAAGATTTACTAAATTGGATAATTTTTTTGGTCAAAATTTGTAAAATTTTGCCTGAAATAATGTAATCAATGTACATAGTCTTTTTTTTTCCAAAACGATAGAGGATATATATAACAAACGCACAAAAGTGCAAAGATACAACTTGGAACGCAGCCCACAGCTGAATAAAAATGAGAGGACAGGTCAGAAGACCGCCTAGAACCTCAACTAGCCAAGCTAGAAACGAAACACTCAAACACACAAAAGACTCAAACAACATCAACAACTAACAACACCACCAACTAAAATCGCTCCCCACAGGAGAATAGAATCGGCCCCCACGGGGTAATCAGCACAGGGGCCAACGGCCCAGACCAAAAAAACAAACATAAAGCACTCAGGCAAAAGCCCACACCAAAAACACTAAACTAACACAGACTCAAGCTACAAAAAAGAAAACTAACGGAGCCCTTCCACATCGCACGAACTAGCTCAACCCGCAGAGAAACAATTGACTCAAGAAGAAGTCGAGATCCAGAAGCCCCTACCGAAACTGCATAAGGCCTGTACAGTAGGGTAAACTGAACCCTAAGACCATTCCCGAATCAACCCGTCATAGACTGAGAAAGCCGCAATCAACCCCAACACCGACGCCACTCGATACAATCTAACACCACTAGATGAGTCGGACAACACCAAATCCCGGCCGCCTAACACCACTAGCCGACCGAGAGGGTGAGAGAGCCCCAATCGCCACAGCGCGAACCACCACAGCCATCGGGGCCCCTCCACACCTGTCGACGCACACCCCAACCAACCCCTCCACAGCAAGCCAGCAACCAGAGATCGGAGCCCCACCAGAGAAGCGGAGCCCCGCCGGAAAAAGCCCCAACCCCTGCCGGGAATAGGAGCCCGAATCGCCGCCATCTGCAGAGAATCGGAGTTACGAACGTCAAAAGGAGGAGTAGGGCGGTCTAGACGACCCCAGGCCGCGCATAACTCGGCGACGAGGAAGGCTAATCAGCTGAAAATTTGACGGACTCCAAGCGCAGAGATGGTTTCGGCGGAAGAGGGTTTTTGGTCATTTTGGTCAAATATTACAGCTTCATTTTTGTTAGTTTGATGATTTAAATTTAAAATATAATATATTGAAAAACTTGCGACTATTATCTTTATTAGTTTCATGGTTTAAATTTGATACATAATATATTGAAAAATTAGAATAAATTTTTTATTTAACATTAAAAATTAAAAAAAAAATATTCTTGACTTGCGAGTCAATAGGACGTAAACGAAATAGTTAAATATTTATCGTTTAATGCATTACTCAGTAACTTACGAGTCAATATTAAATTGGACGTAAACGAAATAGTCAATTATATATAGTTTTATAATTAATCAGCTACTTAATTTTTTTTGAGTTGAATAGTTTATACAAAACTAAATTTATAAATTTTATATTTATACTTATTATTCACAAAGGTTGTTAAATATATGATAAAATTTTACCAAAATAAATATTTTATAGAATCACATTATAGTCAAAT